ATCTACACGTAGACGCCGCGTTGAGACATTGGCCAGACTGAAAAATCAGGCTATAGAAACGTATATGCAAACATTATATTGGCGACATGCAGCGATACGCCGACAGACACCAACAGCCCAGTTTGGGATGGATTGCGAAATCAGAGGTTCAGCTCGGCTCCTTGCTGCCGCACATCACGTTTCAGCCCGTATTTCAACAGAAAATGTGCAATTTCAGCGATTTTGACAATTAAAATTATCGTAATTAGTCATACATAAAGATCGGCGGACAAATAATAATATGTCATCGTATGTTTTGTCTTGTGAGGATGACCGCACGTCCCATAAATATATATACACAGCTATATAATTGCAGTCTCTGTGGCTGTGCAAGTTTAAAACCTTGGAAAAGAATAATTTTTCTCAGATTATTACGTACGTTGGCCCTCGGCATCCCCTATCGGACCCCGGCACCGGTATCCCGGTAGCTCCGTGCCCCCCCCCCCTAAATCTTTAAGATATTTGGTTGAATCTGCTTTAGTTTAGATTCTCATTGGTTTGTTTTTAGTCATGTGACTTCTTTTTAGTCATGTGACAAAAACAAGGAAGTGGGCGGGCTACCGGGCTACCGCGCTACCGCGGTAAAATACGAAAAACGGAAAACCGGGAATACCGGGAAAACCGGGGAATATCGGGGAAAACAGCCACCGGGGGAGGGTGGCCAGGCCTCCCCGGAGGGGAGTCCTGGACACCCGACCCCGGTTCGATAGTAACCCCGTAGTAGCCCCGCTCCGAACCCCGGTATCGCGGGAGCCCGGGGACGAAGTAGCCCCGGTAGCCCCCCCTCCGGCCCCCGGTAGCCCGGTTGCCCGGTAGTGCGGTAGCCCGGTAGCCCCCTCTCCGGCTCCTTACCTTGTTCGTCCGTTGCAGTGAGAGTCCGCCATCTTGCCATTTGAGCAAATTTAAATCACTCTGGAATTTGTAAAAAAAAAAAAAATCAGGGGTTTTCAAAACATTTAGGGAAACTCCAGATGGGAAAACAAGTAAAAGTTGCAAAATGACATTTAGTCTTTCAAATCTTAATTTTAAACTGTAAACAAGGAAAAAAGTACAAGTAGCTTATAACTGTACTTATAATATAGAATGAATGACTGTTTTAAAAATATAAAGTAAAATTTAGGGCGACATTATCGCTTTAGGAATGCTTTTATTGTTGAATATGTTTCTGTCCTTGTACAAACATTTAAAATCTCAGCACTTTGAGTCAGACTCTGTCTGACTCAGAGTGCTTGTCAGGGGTTTTTCTCAAATACAATATTCAGCACAAATATTAACAATTGTAAACATAAAACAACTCCACATTACATTGCACTAATTAGATATTACAAAGCTTGCCACTGCTTTTCTGACTGATGCTGAGCCCAGTTCTGTTCTCTACTTTTGCTTTCAGCATATTCATCAGCGCGCACACTAACCAGTAGGATGACTAAACATTTAGGTATGGTCATTTTCATGGGACAGAAAGATGTTTGGAATTATTTATTGTGTGCAAAAGTTTCTAAAAAAGCCTTTAAGGGAAAGGCAGTCAAAAAGTGGACTGTTACCTTGTCTGTGAACACTGCCGCCTTCTATGTGCAAACACATAATGCTTGACTTTATCCCTAACCCAACTTCTCTTGTCTGTGTCATTTTTCTTCTTAAACTAACAAATCCCAAGGTAATTTATAGCATACTAAAACAAATCAAAGCGACGGCAAGGTGGTTTAGTGGTTAGTACCATTGCCTAACAGCAAGAGGGTTCTGGGTTTGATTCTCTGGAGGAACCAGGACCTTTCTGTATGAAGTTTGCATCTTCTCCCTGTGTCTGCGTGGGTTCGCTCCAGGTTTTCTGGAGGAAACTTGGACACCCCTCACCCATCTACAAGCATTAACATGAATCTTATCAAAACCTTATAGATGCAACCAGATAACAGGACAGCAAAAAAAGGTCACTTAACTCTATTACAGATTCTCAAAGATCTTAACTCTGTTGTATCAAAGAGTATTTATTAGTACACAAACCAAACTTAATTATTTTTTTGTTATCTTTGTTTTTTGCCATATATCTATACATTGCGTGTGCCCCATCTGCTGGTTCAGAAGGGTAAATGATCTCCCTTCTTTCTGATTATGGCCAGCTCATTGGGGTTTTTTTTAAAGTTATGTTGATAAACCGTAACTTCTTTTGGTTTTTGTGACAATAAGATTTTTCTTTTCTTCTTTTTGCTGCTGCTACCTAAGACTTTCAGTTATGTAGGATATCATTTGTTGAGTCATTTGGGCATCATAACAGCAGGTAACAGCAGGCATGGGGGAGCTGTAAAAGCCACATGATGATACGTGGGTCTTGTGTTTATATGAAACAGTCCAACAACAAAAGAGAATGAATAAAGAAATTATACATTGGCAAAAACATTAAATAAGCGCCAAACAAAAGGCAGACAATTTTCAAAACCTCACTCATCCAAGCTTTAGTTCGATTAAAAGACTAACAAAGCTCAAAACAAATTTCTGGATGAGTCTGTCTTCCACTGTCAATCTAAGAGTGGATAACCTAAATGGGCCCACACGAACTCTCCGTCATGGTTGACCAATTTCACAGAGCTTTGGCAGCTTCTTCTTAGTGACTGTAAGAACCTCTCCATAAATGTGTTTATCCTGCTCTTAAAAACCCCCAAAAAACAAAACACAGATGTAAATTGTGTAGTAATTATTCAAATCTAAAACCGCCATAGTGGTTTGAAATACACGTCACTGGCCAATCAAGTAGAAAATCTTGATTTTTGTGTGCCTTTCTGAAAACATGCACCGCTTAGGTTAGAGTAGCTGATGCTTTAGGCTATCTTATACCAAATTCAAGAGAAAAAAATAAATGAAGAGTTCTAATACTAGTTCTTCATCATCTTAAATAGACACATGTATGTGTATGAATAATCATTGCATTATTGTTTTGTTTAATGATGAATGATTGCAAATTTGACATCTCTTGGCCACTGATTGATGTTTATCAAACAAAGAGGAAAATATGAAAAACGCTAATGACTAATAAAATCATCACAAGGGGAAATGTGTTATAAAAATGTCCACTAGATGGCGACCAGTCCTAAAAGAATGAGATGTCCAAGTCCTAAAGTGTAATATTACTAAACGGGCTTCAGATAACCTATTGGTTTCTGCTTTTTCTAAATTAATATTCAAACCATCTTGAAACCCCCTGTTCTTGGGTCAAAGGAGAACAAAAAGCTATCTAATTATTGAATACGAGACCTCCGAAACGGAAATACCGCCCAAAGTTTCGTTCCAACCCTGTTCTTGTCCAATGACAACGACCTTCTGGCTTGATTGATCTGTGGGTGGACCAATGAGAGGCGGGATTAATGCTCGGTCAGTAGCGTTTGTATGGCTGATTTGCAACCCGCCGAAGCAACAGCAGAGAAGAAGGAAAATTGTCGCTTACCTCGAGTCGGACCGTTCTAGGATCAGTGTCGTTTTAGGAAAAGATAGACGCCAATTTGGTGAGTGCGACAGTCGTCACAAGTTGCATCTAAAGTTAGCGCTTATGCAGGTCGTGATATTAACACATAAATCAGTCTGAGTGGAACATTTCAGGCCTGCTGGACAGAAAACATTCGCAGCAGCGGCTGGCAGCCATGATGCATGTTAGTTAGGTTCAATACAGCTGTTTTAATTAAATCTACGTCTTTGTTCGTTCAAAGTTCAGGCAGGGGGATAAACCCAGTTTGCAGCAAAACTAACTGTGTGCAGCATTTCGGACGCTAAACAATACAACTCACTTTAGCTGTCTATTTTAAAAAGCTTTTAGTTTTTGCCTGGAAATTGTTGACTTTGGCTCTGGCGCGAGAATCAAAACTCAGAAGTCACGCTGAGATTTACGCCGAGTTTTCGTCGGCGCCTCCACATTTGAGTTTAAATAACTTCAACACTTGGACAGGAACTCCTATGTCCGTCCTGAATAAATAATAAATAAATAAATTTGCCTTCCTCTCATTGGCCTTCGTACACCGGCGTTTCTGTGCGGGTCAACCGAGCTTTGACAGAGCTCCTCCATTAACAGCAGTGGTTTTCACTTATCTTCTCTATGAGGACCTTTGTTGCTTTTTGTACGTGTAGTTTTGTCCTTTTTGTATTTCCTCTGCTCTTCAGGACGTGTGACAGACCCAGTCCTGCAGCCTCAGGCCCCCTGCTGGAGTGTTTTGCCACAAATAAAAAAGCACATGACCTGAAAAGTTTATTTAGTCTCCTTGTGGCCATGACCTATCACCAAAAACACACGTGACATGAAGGGTTTTTATGTTGTATGGGGTCTAAAAACAGACTGGTCTAAGACTAAGGGTGTTTGGTTGAGTGTCAGACAATATGCGATTATAAACAGATGGTTGAGAACATTTAGTTAAAAATTATATTTGACTAAGAGGTTGATATGATGCCACCAAATCTCAAGTTTAGCTCTCTGTTGCTGCTTAGTCATGCTGTTGTGAAACATGTATCATGGCATTGTGTTTCTGAGAGTTTCCATTTTGGCGTCCCAGTTTCTAGGCCAGTCTCTCACCACCAACTGGCTCCTTCCTTTGAAATGCACTTTTAAACCTTAACCGTGTCACCTTTTATCAATAAAACCATTTAGCATCAGCTATTTATCCACGTGTTTTACCAAATGTATTAATATCAGTGCAAAGTGTCTTAAGTTACAAACCTAAAGCAAGCTGCTTGACTAACCTGTTTTTCTCTGTTTCAGATTAAATCTTCTTTGATTGCCATGACTCCCTACAAGCATCATGAAAGTCACATCTTGTAACGATTTCTAGAAGCTTTTCCCATAACAGGGATTTGGGTTTCTTTTTGTCAGGTCAGCTTTAGTCACCACCACATGAAAAATCTAAGGCTGATGAGATAACCGTAACTGATGATTATACCCCGTTTGTTCCCCTGCCAGCTCGAATCATCAGCATCTGAGCTCAGACATGGACCCGTCTACCCGGGTGGTGGGCCTGGATGCCCAGGGGAACATGGTCTTCACCGTGGTGAAGCCTGTGATGGGCATCTTTCAGATGTCCCCTGAGCAAGGCAGCGGCGTGTCACAAGCCGGCATGAGTCTGCAAAGTTTATCCGAAAACACGCTGGTCCTGCCTCAGGAGCAGCCTCAGGCTCCGCTGGAGCCAACGCAGATGGAAATGAGCAGCATTCAGCAGCACATTCAGCCTCAAATGCAGGGTTCTGCCCCGGTCCAGAGCCAGGACGTGCCACAGAACCAGGAGCTGCCGCAGAACTCTGCCGCACACCCACAGTCCACCAGCCAGATGCCTTTTGCAGAGGTCTCGTCTCTCCTGGATCCCAACATGAAAGGGTCTAAAGCTCGTAAGTGGCCAATCATCACTTCAAACTAGAACAAGTTCAATAAATGCAAATATGTCATCTGACCGGCTGAATTTCTGCTTTTGGGTTCAGTGTTTCTCTTACTTCCCTTTCTGTTTCAATTCACCAAATTCTCTCATTTATCTCCTTCTGTCCTCCTCCGTCTTCAGGGAAATATCTCATCTCTTATGATGAAATTAAGAGGCGCCTGCAGGCCCCAGAGAAGATGTCCCTGCGCTCCCTGGCAGCGTACACTCGTGTCAGCAGAGGCCCGGCCAGCAAGAAAACTCTCCTGGAGTCCCTGAATGTGCTCGGCCTCACGCCGAGCACAACCACCTCCGTGTCCTCCTCCTTCTCCAAACTCACTGAAGGCGAGTCGTGTGTGGGCGTGGACTGCCGTTCCAGATGTGAGCGCGCAGAAAATGCCCGGAGTTTCTGATTGGATCCTCTTATTTTCAGGTGACACCAGAGCTCTTTGTGAGGACATGAAGGATTTTGCACAGGATTACATCGGCTACAGCAGCATGGCCAAGCAGCTCATCCCTGAGATGAACACGGTCCAGCACTGGTCTAAAATAATCGAAACCAAGTACGAGTGGCCACACGACGGGCTGTGGAGTTGACCTAAATCATCACAAGGGGTTAATATTAACGCTCTCTTCTTTTTCCAGAAACCACCTCGAGGATATGAGGAAATGTTTCAAGGATCCGGTTAACAGCGGCGCCTTTGACAACGTCACGCACGGCCTGGGCCTGGGAATGTTGGACGTCGCTCTGGACATGATCGTCATGGTGATCGAACATCAGATCCGCATCCTGTCCGGCGCGGCGGCGTCCGACCCGGCCGACTCGGGCCCGTCTCTGCGCCGCATCCGCAGGCGCCACCGCAGAATCCAGTCGGCCGACGGCGAGAAGCTTCGCAAGATGTCCGCCGGGGCAAAGGAGATGGGGAAGACGGTTTCAAAAGGCAAAGCCCGAGCCAGAGCCAGGAAGAAGACGATAGCAGAAACTGGAGCCTCTGGTCAGGCCGAGACCCAAGCGGAGCAGAGCAAATCCGAGGATGTGGAGAATAACGTCCTCACCCTGGTCTCTGTGGGCTACGAGGCCGTTTCTAGCGGCCTCAGTGCAGCTGGAACTGTTTGACAGCTGGTCAGGGGACAGTTTTAAAGACAAAGTCCAGCACTGGCTACTCAGCTGGGATGAGCTCCTCTGGAAAAGACAGCAGAGAATCTCCTCTCATCCAAGTCCCAGTTCTTCTTCTGGTTTATTGATGGCAGGTTAGGCGCGTCTTTTTCATTTAGAAATTAAAGAGAAGTGGGACCTTACTTCTGTCAAATGGAACTGAAAACTGGGATCAGCCCTAAAATCTTGTTTAGGGAAAAGACACTTTCTTTGCTGTCCTGTTGCAAGCTGTAATAAGCTGCTGCAAACAGCCTCTGGTTTGTTAAATGGGAGCATTATTCAAATGTTTTTTTTTTTAACACTTTATATGGACTGTGAATAATAGGTTAGATATATAACAGTCCAACAGCAGGGAAACGTTCTTGTTCATAGAGTGACGTGGATTATTTAAATCAACCAAAAGCTCAAGCGTAAAAAATATTCTCAAATAATTCCTATAGTGTGTTTTCCTTTACCAGCAGCAGCGTACAAATAGGAAAGCCAGAAAACTGCAGAACCAAAAATAAGATCTCCTGAGTCATTTCTTTCTCTTTTGTTTTTGGTCCTCAGATTTTTTTTTCCTCCAATTGAGTTTCTGATGTATTTATGCATCTGAGACAGAAACAGAAAAACAAGAGAATTATGTCTTCTGATACCTCAGACATGCCTGAAAGCGTGAATGGTGGGGCCGCTCCTGTAATTCCGCTGTGTGGTTTCTCGCTGAGCAGACCATTACTGCGACCCTAACGATGGACCTTTTATCCTGTCCATCCCCTAAAAGCAGCTGGCCTCGCTTTTGTAACCAACACTGTCCATCTCTTATGAGACGCACAAACACCCAAACGCTAAGAATGACTTTCCATCGGCCGAGTAGCGATAGAACATGGCTTTAAACCAGTTTTTACTCTGATTAACCGAACAAGTGTCTCTTGTGTTTGTTTTATTCATTTAAAAAAAGGCTTTTTGCTCCTAAGTCAGCTTCTGGGCTCCATGTGGCAGATTTCATTCCCTTTGTAATGTGGTAGTTAGCTAACCTGCTACACGTGTGTGAAAAACACTCCCAAGAAGCTGTCTAAAGCCGTAAAGGACATTTCAGAGAAATATCAAACCATTCTGTTCTGTTTATGTTTGTCTCTTTTAAGTTACAGTTAATGTGTTGTTGTTTTTTCATGCTGTTCATATTTTAATAGGTTGTATTTGTACAAATGCACACACAGAAATGGCTCTGTGTAAACGCACAGCAGAGGTCCGGGTTATATTCAGATTGGCTGAAGGTACAGTGTCTCCTGGTAGTCTGCTTTTATTTATTATTTAGATTCCTAATTCTGTATCGAAGTTTTGAAAAGTATTTTCTGTTTTTACTCCAACAGAGTGGAGTAAAATATAAAGATCTACTTTTCTATGACAGTGTGTTGTAGAATTTCTTTTTCCTCATGAGAAATTGAAGCTCAAGTTCGAAGAGAGGGTTTGTTTGCATTTGATATTAAGAACTAAAAATGTTCAGTTTGATTGCAAAGCAATAAGGGGGGAAAAAACTTTAGAAATTTTTTTTCAACATTTATTTTATGTTGATTCAGTCTTAAAAAAAAAAAAAAAAGGTTCACGTTAAACGATAAAGAACCTTCTTAATCGGGTTAAGTCCTGACAAGCTGGATAAATTCCATCCACTATCCACCCGTGTGCGAAAACAGATGCCAGATCCTCAATGTTGTTTTGGCTCAGGTGTTCTACAAGCTGAAAGGCATCATGGGAGATTTTCAGAGCCGTAGGAATACACCCAGCGGAGTCAGCCAAGTGTTAATACCCTAACTGCACGCACATACACACACGTTCGCTGGATGAGGGCAAAGCCTTAGGGGGGATTTTCTCTGTCTTAACCGTGAGAGGGAACGGATAGCCAGCTGGAACGCAACGAAGACGACAAACAAAACAGACCCATTTATCTCCAAACAGCCCTAAACGTGGGCATGAAGGGCAGCAGCTCCATTAAAGGGAGGTTTAGGTTCAGGTAGGGGCCTCTGAAGCCACGGCTAATGACTCCACAGAGCTGTGCTGAGAGAAGGAAAAGGGTTCATCAAGTGTTGCCCGTTGTGGAAGATGTCGACCTGAGGAGGTTTCACCACCAGAGCTTCAGAGACGGCAGGACTGGGCGGAATGGGGCACCCCAATGTGCCACTATCCTACAAACACGCACGAGCTCACAGGGACAGGCACATATCCGGCCGGCCGCAGCCCTACACGGCCAACGGTGAGTGGAGCGCTGTGATTGGGCTCAGTGTGCTTCAGATAGCCTTGAACCTGTTGAATGTCCCACAAAAAGGCATTTCAAAACTGAGAAATTAAGTTAAGCAGCTCAATTGGTCAAGTTAAAGGCTAACTGTGTTGTTCGAAAACAAAAAAGTTTATGGATTTGTGTCCATGAATCCTTAAAGGAGCACGTGGTTAGATGAAAACACGTGTTTTTTCTTCTCATTTCAGGGAATATTTGAATATTTGATTCTCAAACAGAAACGTCAAAGCCGAAAATAGTATCCATCAGAAATTTTAGTTTAGTTTATAAATGTCTTGGAATGGGTCCCACGTGGACAAAAATCCAATCCAATTAAAGTGAAAGAGCTGGATTTGGGATTGGATTCAAAAGGAAAGTAAAATAAATTTTTGGGTTAGACATACCAGAAAGCATCATTTACTATTTTTCTTTTTAAAATTGTGAATAAATGGGATGCTCCACACTTTGCAAAGCTTTCAATATGTTTGCAGCACTTTTTGTGGAGCTGTCACTTTGAGCTTTTGTTACACTGTCCTAAACACCCTTGTTCCCTATCGCCATTATGACCATTTTGCAGTTAGACAAAAGAGGAATGAAAGGATTTTCCTAGAGGAAACATATCATTCTAAGATCAGCTGCTGCAGGAAGAAAAGAGGGCATTTTTAGCTCAACAGTCAGTCTCATGCTAAGAGGCAAACAATGGGTCCTGAGTAAAGATATCTGTTTCTTTTTCTTGATCTTTTTATGATGCCTGTCATACATAGAAGCCTGTGATTAATTTAAAAAACACAATTAGTAAATGATTTTGGTAACTGTTAAGATTTAATGATTTGACCGAAAATTCTTCATAGTTCTTCACAAAGTGTGTGGGTGTTTGAACATCAGGAGCTCATATCAGGAGCTCAACATTTTAATTTTAAGTAAGTGTTTATGTTCTGTTTGCCATTGGGTATCACTAAGTACTGGGATAACTTTAATGATTCCTGACTTTAAGCCGTGATTTGAATTGCATATTGGAAAAAAATCCACTCCCAAATCTTTTCTTTTTTTTTCAAAATTCAAATTCAATTATTTTTTTCAAATTCTCTGTTTTATTCATGCAGTGTGATTTGATTTTGGGGCAAAACCCAATGACTTTTCAAAGACTGCATGTTTTTTCTGTGTTTGACAGTTTTTATATCTGATGACCTGCATTATGATCCAAATATCAATTGTCCAGGTATCAACATGCTCTGTAACATTTAGCTTTGGGTACCTAAATTCAAGGAAAGCAATGGATTATTTGGATCTCAAAAAGGAACTTAGGGAACCGGGAACAACAATACTTGAGATGATTGTTTAATGCTGTTATCGGGAGTTGATAAGTTCAAATCATCTCATTACCTTGATTTACAAATCTTGTCAGTAGTGATCAAGTTAAATGTATTTTAATTAAGGGATAACAAAGGGGTTTCCTGTCATGGTTTGAAGTGTTCCTATGTGGAACATCAGAGGTACCGCTGCCGTGGTCCCTGAGACCTGTATCACTTTGAGTAATGATTTGAGTAATGTTTGAGTAATGTTCAGAATCCCTCCATACATCACACCCCTGACCTCTGTGGTCACCCATTTTACGACTTCATTTCTCTGTTCTTCTGTCTCTACAGACAACTTGAACAATGCACTTGGTGCTATCAGAGTTCTTGGCGTGGAGCTGATTGAGGATGAACTGAAACCCCATCTCAACACGGTGATGGCTAACATCAAGGAGAGGAGTGAGTTCACGTGGTCAACCCTTAAACTATTTGAAGAGGTGTTTATTTTAAGTCACTTTAAGGATCAGATATCAAACTGTGCTAGCCATAATGATCTAAATCGGAACATGGATTTAATTCAAAGTTATTTTATTTGCAGAAGTGCCTTCTCCACAAAAAAAAACTCGGCATAACTGATTCATGTGTAAGCATTTGCATGGTGACAGCCCTCAATCTGAAGACAGCACTATTTGCAAAACCGCAATGATTAGGATGGCGGGTTCAGTGCCTGCAGAGGGAGAGCACTTTTAAGTCTTCGGTTGACGTTAAGCTGTATTTGTGTCTAAAGAAAGGTCAGCGGGATCACATGCAGAGAGCTGCTAAACCAGACTAGAAGAATTCTGCTAAAATATTATAGATGCATACCAGATACAGCTTGATAAATGTCTTATTTCTAAAGACAGAATCCCAAGGATTTGGCGTCAGAGTTGCTCTGATATGTGAGTTTGATTAGTAAAAATTACGTTTTTTTTCCTTATAATGCCGTTCTGTGTGTGTCCAGAGAAAGGCGCTGCTGAGCAGGTGGTGATAAGCGGGATCCTGCCAATCCTGGCCCTGTCGCTGAGGAGCAGAGGGCCTCTGACTCTGCTCACAGCTAAACTGGTGGCTGAGCTTGCCAAAGAATGTATGTAACCCACCCAAATATAGTCACCATTTATCATTTTTGAATGAAGTGGGAAATTCCATTTAAAAACTAGAAAGATTTTGATGGAAACTAAAGATTTTTCCCGGCTTCCAGGTTGTTTTAGCCCTCTTTTCTTTCTCTTTTGTGTTGTTTTTTTCCTGTTTTCCGTCAGCTGTGGTCCGTAAAGGTTTTGGGGATGCAGGCTTGGTTACAGCGTTGCTGTCCCTCCTGACCAGTACAAACGAAGAGCTGCTGATTCACGCTGCAAGAGCCATCTCACGCATGTCCTACGACAGCCGTAAGTCAAAGGACATATAAAAACAGTACAGAGATCAGACTAAATTATTTCTATGTTTTTAGGTATTTCTCTATTTTTAAAACACTAAAACGGAAATGAGAGAATTGGAAGAATTGTTGTTTAAAAAGGGTAAAAAAGGTAAAAAAGATTGTGATTGCAGGGTGATTGTGGTACTTTTTCCTTGCTTTTTCCAGTGTGGTTTATTTGTAGAAATCGAGCTGCACTCATTTTGCAGTGGAAGCATTCAGGGTCTTAAAACATAAAAGAAAGAACAGTCAAAATATCTGTCCCCTCTTTGACTTCTGACTATTAAACTTCATAGATATGTATGAATATGAATCAAATTATTATTATTCGACTAAAGTTAATGATGCAAACATTTCCTTTGACCCCTTCAGCCAGGCAGCAGGAACTGCTGCTGAGGCGAGGGGCGGTGCCTCGTTTTGTGGCCATCCTTCTGCGCTTCCCGGATAAGGAGGCCCTGGAGGAGGCCTGCCTGCAGGCCCTCTGTAACCTCAGCGGCATGGGGGTGGCGGAGGAGGCCGGGATGATTTGGGAGAGAGGGGCCCCCATGAGGCCGGGGGAGTCCGTGTTCCACGGCGTTTCCCCCCACACCTGCGGGTTCGCGTCCTCGGTCACTCTGGTCCGCGTCTCCCAGTGGGGGCCCGGTCAGTACGAGGTCAGCATCGAGGATTTCCAGCGCTGCTCCTCCTCCTTCTGGAACCTGCACGGGAACAAACGGGCAGCTCGCTGGTCTCCCTTCTTCAGCTCGGGCAGCTTTTCCAATTTTTTCAAAGGAATTAAATTTTCCACGAGGAACGTTCCTTCAACGCGGAGTCTGAAGACACGCGTGTTCCACACTTTCCTATGACAGCTTCAAACCCAAACAAGGTGGCCTAAATTAAATGGACTAAGAAAAATGAACATGACAGCTATAATATTATGTTTTATTAACAGTTTTTAGAGTTGGAATAAACATTACTAACATTATTCCCCACTAGAACTATCAGATTGTGGAATCATTTTCATGAGAATCTTCTATTCTAATACATTTATTACAGTAAATAACATGGTATTTTAGACTAAACCAGTAGCTATATTGACTCATCTACTTGTGTGTGACTCATTTAATGAGATGCAAATAGACAGAAGTGCTTGTAAACACTTTCTATGCGAATGACAGCCGTTGCATTCAAATTTCTGAAGATGTTCCAGTTGTTTACATCATAAACCAGGGCTTTTATCATTTTCTCTACACAGTTCCTGTTGTTTAGAGCTCATTTTCATCTTCTTGTTTGCTTGTTTTTTTGGAGTGAAATAAGCTACACTTCCTGTTAACGTCTCAAACAATGTGTAATAAATTTCAGAACACTGTCTCTTAAGAACTTATTCAAAAAAGAAAAACATTACAAATATATCTTACATTCATGATCCATGCTGCTGATTTGTTCACAAGTGCTTGAAATATTGAGTATGTTTTTTTGTATAGCACATGGATTCGATTTGTAACCTCATTCAATATGACCCGTCTTTTTAATCATTTGGATATGTGTTTGAAATGCGCTTTAATGTATGAATAAAAATATATATGATGTATTTTGAGTGTCTTTCTATACAGCAATGAAACAAGGGCTTTGTTGTAATGAGAAATCTCAGCCAGAATACTCTCAATCACAGTTATATTTAACACTTTTTCCTTGTCTTTTAATCCCCCGAGAGACACTTTGATTTGTGTCGGTGGATTTCTATTTAAATCAAATGAAAACTTCAAAGCGGTGAGCGTGTTTCGCCATGAGTTACTTACTCCAAACCCTTGAACTGGGACAAAAGGGGTTGCTGCATCATCCCAGTAAGAAGACAGGCTGAGAAGCCAGAAGTGACGCACGCTGAAAGCAGCAGACCTCTGTGAAGTTTGACTGCCTGCAATAAGCCTAGCGCTCAAGACATGTTTTAGAAGTACCATAAATGAAGTCGTTTGTGTAAAATGTCTGAAAAAAGGCAGACGATTGCACAGACTTATTCGTGATGACCTGTCTCTCCATCAACGTACCTTAGCCCTGATCACTAGAGTTCAGATCATCCACTCATACAAAAAAAAAAAAAATATCTGAAGTGCCTTTTTCAGGCATAGATTTGTTGTTTGATGCATTTGTTGTCTGAAAGTTGTTTTTTTATGTAACTAGTCCATTTCTAGGTACTGCACTTAGTTGGCACTTTGAGGTTGTGCAGGAAAGGAGCACCGAGGGAGCTAGGTGAAAAGTCACATCTTTAGGATTTTCTCACCTTTAAATGTGTTTTTCGTCTCAAGGGAAAATGGCTGCGGCCAGCGACGATGCTGGTTATCCTGGTCTTCCATCTGTTGTACAATACAGTGACCTGGCTCACCTTAAAAGATGACAAAGTGCAATTATTGACTATTAACTGAGGAATAAAGTGTGATCAGTAACTGCTATCGTGAGTCTTATCACCCATGCGTATATCGACTAATTTCTCTGTGCTTTCCCCTCTCTATCACTCCTTTTGCAGATTTCAAATTGTATTGAATTAGTGTGTGAAAATCTCAGAACCAAAATAATTATCTGTGTACCACTAGGTGGCATACATGTTCTTTAGAGTTCAGACTAGCCTGTTTAATTCTGTGAGCAGGGGTTGATCTAATACTGCCTTTTTACACATCATATTGGACATTCTGTTTAACTTATGGTGATTTATTTGGTCTAATTTCTCCAGTGGATGCTATGAAGTTTGTGACAGTTTCTACGTCGAAGCAGTTGCCACTTTACAGTAAGTCTGTAAACGGTGATAAAGAGATATATCCAAACCTACTCTAAGTCTGTGTTATAACTCCTATTTCTCCACATCTAATTGCTTCTCTTATTGGCTCCATCCTGCCTCAGGACTTCAAACGCTGGGGCACTTCCTCTAATCAATCCAGGCTTTATTACTTCAGGAACCACTTAAATATTTGATATGAGATGATATGGGGCTTTGGAACTATTTACTGGTAGACACAAGGTGCTCACAACTGTCGATGATTAACTTGATTGCCCTCTGACGTTTGAGTCATTCCTGATTAAGTTTTGGTGTGAAAGAAAAAATATATATACACTGTACATAAGAAAGCAGCATGACAACTAAAAAGATTCACATTGTGGCGTTCATAGATGTGCCTTTACTCCTGATTTGACAAGAGAGATACTTGAGTTTGGTCAGAAAAGGGGGTAAAGATCAGGTCAGGATTCCAGTCACTGGAGGCTGAGTGCTGTCATTACTCTGGCTGCCAGCGTGCCGCTTTTGAAGGTTTTTAGCCAGTAATCTCACTGCGTTTCAGAAAGTTGAGGAGTATCTGTCCACTGTTGGGTCTTGAAACTAAACTTTGAAGAGACAAGAAAAGTGCCTTTCTTTATTCAGAATTCTGCAAAAAAAGGAGCAAAAATGGTTCATCTGCACGGTCTTCGTCCAAAAGGCTGTAGCTGTTTCAGACAAACAATCAGAAAAAAGCGCTACAGAAATTTCTCTGCAAAGAAAAATACCACCGCACAGGACGTAAAGTTGCCTCATGACTTCACTGCTTTAAAGCATGTTTCATTTTCCCTAGCTCAAACGTCTGATGTGTCACACACACAAATTGTTTAATCAATAGCTCCACTTCCACTCCGTAATGGGAGATGCAGACAGCGTGCATATATTATGTTTAATATAAAACTTATTAATAATGCATGATGTGTTTTGCATACTATGCCCCCAAACCCCGAAAACACTGCTTAAGACTGTTTTATTGCTTGTCTTTGCAAATTAGTCATTTAAACTTTAATCCACTTGTTTCCAGTAGAAAGAGTTCCACGTTTTGCATTATTATTTTCACCATGATTATAAATACAGTTTTTGCTATTTCTTTTATGTGTTCTTAAGTACTTCTGACTTACAGTACCTCAACGATGCTGTGTAGTATTATTTTCTATACTTTACTGTTTATATACATCATATATATATATATTTCTCTAACTTTCGTTGTTAAGTACTTCTTTTTTACTTTAATTGGCTTCCTTAACTGTGCAAATTGGTGTGACAACAAAAATTCCTATAGTCTTTGAAACCTTGAAAAAGAAACCAACCTCCTTCGTGTTTTATTTAGATACACTCCTTTTATCAAAAAACAAGGTTCAAGGTTTTCTTTAAAAGAAATTTATAAGATTTTACATAAAGAAGAAAAAAAACTCAAAATGGCATGTTGAGTGAAAAACGAATCAAACTAAAGATTGGTAACTTCAAATATTGTGTACAATTAAAAATGAAATGAGATGTCAAATATTATTGAACTGCAAGAGCTCCAAGCATTAACGGCCCATATTTCTAAGAATATTTATTAAGCTTTTTAATAAGAAGACCAAATCTTGTGTGTAACGACTGTTTGGAGTGAGTCATTTTCATTGGTGCAATCATGCTTACATAATGTAATTTGCTTTCTGTTAAAGAGAAGGGAAGTTTTACCAATGTAATTTATATTCATATAAATAACTGCATACATTTATATGTGAGCATGAGAAAATATTTCAGCACTGGATTTTTTCTGGTTACTACTGTTTGCATTTTATTTTACATGTTCATCAACCAAAGATTAAACAGTAAGAAATCACTTTATCATGATGAAATCCTTATAAACAGTTATTTTCTGTCAGAATTCAGCTATACTTTTTTCTTTGGTTGTACTTGAATTCAGTCTTCGTTAGATTAATTTCACTCAGAGTTTAACTTTGGATACGTCTATACATCAATGTCCAACGTCTCCATAAATCTTGTGGACAACTCTGTAGATCAAATACTTTTTAGTGATATGAGGCCATTTTTTTAGACATATCTTATCTTACCATATCTTATATATCAAATTCTATAGGTTTTGTATTTTATTCAAATGCCAAACATTGAATTCAGTCATGACACACTTGATAAGTTTAAGGGGAATTACATTGAGCATAACATTCTGTAACAGTGAACGCTACAAATTGATCATCGCTTCTACGCCGAATGTGTCCATGCCTGTGGTTGGCCTGTCACAGTGAGGAGGCGCTCCGTGTCGAGACAAGCGGATGTCAGACCCGACAACCCAAAAAGCCTGGCATATCCTCGACAGCTTGTTGTCAGAGACCAGAACGGTCGGTTCAAACGCCGGCTCCTTCACCTCTATTTTTGTACCCATATCACAAGCAGATGCACTTCTCTCCATCTGCTTTGAGCGACAGAATAAGGCTAGTACCAGAAGAGACAACAACAGGCACGGCCAAACACTCCGAAAGGCGCTGAAGGCTTGTGTGTGCACGTGAACGTGTGTGTACCAGAGTGGGACTGGAGAGAGGGGGAGGCCATCTGTCCTGACCTATTATGCCCATCATGGGAGGGCTCTCCATGGGGCACACCTCCTCTAAGATATTGTGACATAGATAGCGCAGGAATGGAAGAGGAGTCGATCTGATTGAGCGCTTTGTCACAGTGTTTTAAGGGGAAAATAACATCCTGACATCACCAGCTGGGAGAAGCGGCAAAATGGAGAGGTGACAGAGGGAAGGGCAGAGTGGCGGCGCACAGAGATGACACGGCAGATGGCTGATTGGAGATTATCACTGTGGGAGGAAACACCAGGAAGTCAATTAGGGGAGGGGACGGGAACACGCAGATGCTTGGAGCACCAATCAAAATTTGTCATATTTCATCTTAGTCTTACTGTAAATGTTTGAAGGTGATCATTGGACAAGCTTTTCTCATTTTGGCGGATTAAGTTTGTCAACTGAGTGAAGATGTTTGAGTGTGTTCGTCTAATTCTAAGAACATCACGTTTTTAACAATAATTACAGATCTGTGTGCTTTTTTGTGTCAGTAGCAAGCACCGGGTTAAGCCTGGTTTGAAGTCAACTCAAATCAGGTAACATGTTTAAAAATTAAACATTTTCATATGAAATGTAACTTGAAAAATCAAAACGTATCAGAAAGTGTAAGATTATCCATTGACATAACCAATGGCTTATTTTCCACACAAAACAGCCTTTGTTTTGTTTAAACAGAGGGCCCTTTCTCATACAGTGGTGCTGAATACAAATGCTACGCAAACCCATGATTGAACTGCCTTGAGCCCAAACAAGAAGAAAAGTAATCGAGTTGTAAAAGCTCAGTAGTGAGCCGGTCCAATTAGTTTTGACATGGAGGAAATAGAACTTGTCAGTGAATGTGTGAAGGGCAGGCAAAGAGAGGAAGAGAAGCAGGGAAAGGAAAGGGTTTATGCTAATATGTCTCTGTGCTGCTCCTTGTCCTGGATATGTTGGGCCTGGGGGAGGCAAACCTGAGAGTGAAAACCCCATGTGACCCCTGGAGAAGCACTTTACCTGGCACTTGGATGATTGACTGCATTGCAGCCGAAGATATGCAAATTCATTCAAATTTTCCACGGTGCAAGGTGCAAAAATAGGTCGGGATATGTCTTAACCTTGCGTCAGGTTGGACATATTGCTTTGAAAGACTGGGAATAATTGGCACGGACCATTAATGAAGAAACTAAATGACACCGAATGTGATGTGAATCAGTACCATGAAGTTTTACATTGGAC